TTATTATTATTACTATTAGTAGTAGTATTATTAAACAAACATTTAAAGAAACTTGCAAAAGGATAAAAACGAAATTGAACCACAGTATCGCATTTCTATCTTAAAAGACCTGGCCTGATATTTATGGATTTAAGATTTTTTTTAATCACGCTTAGGCCTATGTGTTCTATTAGGCCTACGTATAACGGGTACTGATGCATATTTACATATTTAGAAGTATTCATTTTGAGTGATCCCAGGAAAGAATTTGTATTGGCTCAAGAATAAGCTTTAAAATTTTAACACTGTGTACAAAGGGGGGAGCCACGGCTCCCCCCATCCCCGGATACGTCCCTGTTATAACTTTGTATTATTATTATTAATCTTAGTATTCCAAAATCTATTTTTAGACATGATTTATTATTTTCTGATTGGCAACTTAACAAATTCTACACTAAAGCTTTTTATTACCAATAGGTGAAATTGGTAGGTGACCAATCAGAGAATCAGAAAACCATGGTTAGGTATAATATGCCTAATTTGAAAAAAATATTATTATTGTTTAATATATTATATATATTTAATGTTTTTAAATCAAATAGAACTTGGGCCTAACATGTTCTGCTTCAAAAATTGACTAATAGTGTACTAATCATTGATAGATGATAGAAAGGTGCTTTAGCACTAAAACAATTTTTTTTTACAATTTGTTTACACCAATATATAGATGCTCCACCTGTCCAGGATTGTAGTGTATTGAAGTGCGAGGTCGAAGGTCACTGCGTAGGATGGCACTGTCCATTTTGTGCCGCAACTGGCGAAAGATGCAGAATGAAGAGCCATATTCAAGCAGTTCATTGGGGATCTCGCGTTGAGATTGGTGGTTAGTTTGCTTGGTGTCTACATACTGTACCAAGGAGGCATGCACTTGTATTTCCTTGCTTGTTTTTAATTTTACCTAAGAGTAGAAATATATCTTTGAATGATTCTTAAAATACGTTGGTCCATGCTACATTAAACGCCTGCCTAACAATACTCTCAAAGGAGCAGAAAAGGTTGCAACTCATGTATGATTGTTCCATATCCAATTATCATGGTCACAAACCCTTTGATGCTGTTTACTACACAAGTTCTATATAACTTTATGAATATCATATCTTTTCCACAGAATCGTGGTCAGTACTGTGCAAGTGTAAAAGTACGGGAAAGACGACACCACGACATTGGCACTGCACTCTTTGTACAAACTCTACGTTTGTCAAGGCGCAGATCTTGGAAACTCACATGATACGAATACACAAAGTCGAAGAAAATATAAAACGATTTTCTAGAAGCAAACTTGTGGCAGTCAACGGTGTAGTTGTAACAGGCAATGTCGTTGAAGTTCGCTCTGATGTCAATCTAGACACACCCATTGATCACCAAGAGGCCGCTTCTGTTAATTTAGACACACATGTTGTGAATCTAGACACGCCTGTTGTGCATATAGTCACACCAGATGATGCTGATGTTGCAGTTGAAGAAATCATAGCCTTTACTGATGTAAGTCATGAATAAGTAATTAATAATTATGATATTGATAGTGGTGATTATATGATAATGTAATGTTAATAATACTGGTAGGGATAATGATGATAATAACGGTAATGAAAAAGATAGTAGTGATAGCTCTAGAATTTTCTGACAAAGTCTGACACGGAGATTTGTAACCAAGGACCATCCAGAGCCCCCAGTCCAAGTTTTTTGGATTGGCAAATTACTATCTTCAGTCTGATGACCTCAAGTGGTATCCAACATTAGAGAGGTCAGTGGGAAATTTCATTCCTGGTGACCTTGGCTTGCATCGCTACTGCTGCTACAGTTACTTTTTTGTTTTGTTTTTAAAGCTAGTATTCTTTATTCAAATTTATAACTAAATTGGCATTGATTTTAATTTATGTTACAGGCCTGGGAAATGCTTCAGAAAGAACTACAGTAAAATGAAAGTCGTTGCCGTAATCATTCTTGACTTCATAGGAGAAACTTTAGAACTGGACTCAAGGAAACATTTAAGATAATGAACTCGGCAACAGTATCAGATCGAGCGATCATATTATACGCTATGTAGTGTCTGATATTGCACATGTTGCTAGGTCTATGAGGTAAATAATTCTCAGTATATGTATGGAATACTGATACAAAAGCACGAGGGAATTCGCGTTGTTATAGTGATGGCGATCACTAGCAAGGCAAATAACTTCGCTTTAGCTTTTTTAAACTGCATAAACAGTTACGTCAAGTAGTCCGATGATTTGAAAAGTAATCATTACGTTAAATTTATTATTAAGAAGTATTGCAAGAATCGTTATTTTCAACAATAATTTAAACAAATGCCAAAACATACTTTCATCTAAAGTTTCGTCTAAACTGATATGTCACATAGGCCTTCCAACATGGCATCGGTGGCCTCACTAAAACCAGCCAATGAGTAATCCAGCTATCATAGTAGAGATCAGTGGTATGGAGCCGGCCACAGTGAGTGTAATATACAGTCTGTTGCCTGATTGTTATAATGCTTGCCTTCCAATCCAAAGTCCTGTGTTCAATTATTGTAGAACCCCAGGTTCTGTGTATACTAAATAATACAAGACTTGTATTATTTAAAGCAAACTTGGTTTTAGTTCAAACTGGTTCTAGGTAATTTACATTCATATACAAATTTATTTAAGTACAACTTGTTCTTGCTGATTGCAAGACCCATTGTCAGAATTTCTTTAAATTTTAAAATTTATACAATTGTTACATACAATCACAACTATCATGGAATTTGGTTTTTACTTGTAGGGTATTTGTATATTAAGTGTGTGTTTTTTTTTTTACTGATACTCTGTCTTGTTAGGTCTTAAATTTTAAGGTGCTTGCTTTAGTCTGGAATTTCGGTGCTGAAACTTGTTTTTGACTGAATCTAAGAATGAGGATGAGGCAGGGGAAAAAACATTGTTACATTGCCAAAGCACGGAGACATATGGAAACTAAAGTCAGTCATTTGGTAATTTTTTTTTTTTTTTTTTTTTTTTTTTGGTTTACACTCTTTGATAACTGAAGAACATGAATAATGAATGGGTTTCTGTCCCAAATAATTTTATCTCCGAGCTCAAAACTAGACTCTATTTGAAGAAGTTAGATGATTACAATTACATTGTTGATTGATATGTACATCAAATACGGCTAGAAGGGTATGACCTTTGCCCTGCTCAGGTTATTAAGCAGTGGTGGAATCATCGTTGTACGTTCTTCATTATTCTGATCCATGTGGTGTTCATTATGTCTAGGGTTGCTGAATCTTTTCCGTAGGTGATTGGCATAATGATGACAATCATTTCTATCTGTATTTTGAATGAGATCAGACTAAGATCGTGAACATATTTTTCCAGGAAAACGTTTAGGGTGTGTCCTCTAACTTTTCTAACATATACTTCCTTCTCTTAAATAATTGAACAATGTTTAGCATAATGATTGGGACCTTACTTATGTCTCTCAAAATGAACAGTGTCACCTGCTCCGCGACATGAGAATGTAAGTGATCAAAATGCATTTCCATCTTTGAGCCATTAAGTAATTTTGCAGTGATTTTCTCTGTAGTGCTATCATAGTTACCAACCTGAGAGATTTGAAATGCATGAGTGACTACAACAGTTGGCCAGGGTCCAGGGGCGGAGCCCCGGCAGGGTGTCTTGGTCCAGATGATCTGAGCATTTTAAGCTGTTTTAAAACGATTTCAGGGAATGTTTGTTGAGCATACCTTGTACATGAACAAAATTATTTTTAATGAAGCCACATACAATTTGAGTATCAATTTATGTTTAATTTGAGCACCTGAACTATGTGCACAAACCTTTTTATTACTCAAAAAATAAAAAATAAATAAAATGCATGTTTCATCCAAAATCACTTTAAAATGCGAGACTGTCCACACGATGTGAGACAGTTGGTAACTATGTGCTATGTAGTGAATTCCTTTACTTAAAAAAAGGAAACATGATACCAAGGTGGTATAGTGCTGTTAGGCTATGTTTAATACCATTAAAAAAATGTATTAAATTCTTTAAAATAATTTTATCCAGTGTTCAATTAGAGGCAAATATATCTTTTAAATTTTTTCTATGTAATTTCATCTTTTCTATGTGATATTAAGGGCCTAAAACTGTAAGTTATTTACACAGTTTTTAATGACCAATAGTAGTTGTCTTGTTGAAAAATGCATTAAAATTATCATTCGGTGACTGAGAAAATAGCCTCTGTACATTTATTTGTTGTAGACATCATTTGATAATGCCAAAATATTAATGTTACAACCAAGCACTCAAAAAATAGAAGCTTATCTAAATTTACATGAAAAACAGTTATTCCATGCTCATTGTTGTAATGCTAATTAGAGCACTGTAAAAGTATAAAAACAATGTAAAATGTACAAGCTTGAAAATGAGGTGAAATGTAACATGTTTTTGAATGCAGTTAAAAAGTAATTCAGTGCTTCTCACATGTTTTATTTATTTGATCAAGAGGTTCAGTATAGTATATCCTAATAATTGTTGTTCCAAGTTTCTCATTTGCATATATTTAAATCAGTTGGTGAATACCACACATTGTGTTTTTTCTTTTTCTTCTGTTCTTTAGCAGTTAGGTAATACTTGTCTTAGCAGCTCACAAACAGTATTTCCCTACCTGCAGTGTAGATCTATCATTACATTATTGGAATGTCATTTAACTTTGATTATCCCTGTGGATTCATATGGAATACTTCTGGGATATCTTTGGATTTATATTGCTATCCTTGGATTATTTGTTTGGAATTCACCTACCAAGACACCTTTAATGGAAAGTCAGCCATTTTTGGTTTTTTTAGTGGCTATACATTTTGTCAAGGCAAGATATTATTGACAGTCCATGCTTTACGGTATGTACTGTACATGTTTTATATACTATTCAACAAACAACAACAATTTAGGTACTGGGAATTAGTTGCGTTTCTGCAATTAGGAAAGACTTAAGGTCAATCCATTGACTGTTCTAGAAAGATCACCTTAAAATTGGGGTTAGATTCCTCACTGAGTCTTTATACACCTGGTCGCATCATGTAGATTTGTACAAATAAATTGTGCACCATAGGTGTGTTGGAACAAATTGTATGTTTTATTTACTGGGCTCATTTTCATCTTTTCTGTACATTTATCTTTTACAAAATGAGTAAATGATGTACAGATTATTACAGAAAGCAAATTCGGTTGGTTAAATTGTACAAGTTTGAGTATAAAAAAAAGTTTAATCAGATAAATATATAAATATAGGTGAAAATTTGTACTAAAAACAATGATTTATAAATATGTAAAAAGTAAATGACAATTTAAGTACAGTAAAAAAAAAACCAATAGGATTTTGTGAAGTACTCTACTGCAGCTACTGTAATTATTATTATTATTATTATTATTATTATTATTATCACTGTATTAGCTATTCTTTGACAGAATATTTAGCTACCAGTGACTAGTGTGATACTAATTGGAAAAGGTTTCAACTAGAGTATGTTGATGATAAGTGAACTTTTGACATATTTTCCTAATCTATGTTGTTGGTGCTTGGATTGAATGAAAAATATGTGAAATTGTAGGTAATATCCCTCTATTATGGTAGGAGCTAAAGCATGGAGCCACTGAAAGCACTTCGCATTGTAGGTACTGTTTTGGCTTATAAGTATGTGCGAGACAATTTTCGCGTAATACAGTATGATGCAGGTGGAAGTCCTTGTTTGTCGTTTTTGTTTCATATCAATGCATCACTATGATGTATCAGTGTAGCATTAGCAAATGTCATGTGCTTGATTTCATTATGAAAAGCTACACTTCGAACAAATGTTTATTAAATCCTTTATATATTGAAAAATATGTGAAATTGCATGTCAAAGCTGAATTTTTTTAAATAAAGCAAAATACGTATGACGTTTAGAATATAAGAGATTATTTGGTTGTACTTAAAATCTACTGGTCAATTATTTGCGAGTTTGAAATTTCATACAAAAGTGAACCATCGATCTTCATTCTGTCACGCTGTTATTATATTCCACAGCTGTTTTCTTTAACAGACTTTTTACATTTAAAACTGAAAATTTTGAAACAGTTTCAGAAAGACATAAAAATAATCCTTATTGATCCATTTCACATGGAAATTCCACTGCTTCTTCATCACTTTTATGTCTAGCAGTTTGCAATGTTTAAGTTCAGCAGTCTGGTACAATAACTTTGCAATTCATGTGTTTGAAGCCACATATAAAAATTTTTCTATTCAATTCTGCCCTTTAAAATATTGGATATGCTGCCCTCATTGTTGAAGTATTTTGTACTTTGGATGAACTCGATTTCAATTTCAAGACTTTCAGATGAAAACTTAAATTTGATATGACATAAATGTGAAGATATACTGTCTGTAAATTTAATTATGAAATTGTGGATTTAAAAGTATTATATAAGCTGTCTGCTTTCAATGAAACAGAGATCAGAACAGTTTAGTTTTCTTACAATTTTATGATGAAAATCTTGGGAGACTATTTTTCAGATGATATGTTTCAATTATTTAAATTTGATGACTTAAATTTGAAAATATACTGTCTGTTTTGAAATAATCTAAAAATAACTCAAAATTTAATTTGTATAAATTTTAATTGCTGATTTGAAAGAATCAAAAGTTATAAAATACCTATGAAAGCATACATTGCTCAGATTGCTTAATTAAAAAATTACTTTGAGTAAACTCTATGAAGACTTTCAGATGAGTAAAATCAATTATATTACATTCATTGTGGTGAAATATTTAATAAAATAAAAACTAAAATTTGATTAAAAAGGATTGAATAACTTGGCAACTTTTAACACGGGGATCAAAAGAAATTTATTTTTATCTTTTTTACTATGAAATTCTTTACCTTGAGTAAGCTCTTAATATGACTTTCAAATGAAAAGGGACTTAAATGTTATGACATGTGAAGCTATATAATCTGTAATTATTTTTTTTTGCATTCTCAATTAAATATTAAATTGCTCATTTAGAAGGATCAAATAACTTAGGCTTCCAAAGAAATAAAACCATTTTAGCTTTCTCAGATTTTTAAACTAAATTCATTACCTTGAGTAAACTTCTTATTAAAGAATTTCAATGAAAAGAAACTTAAATTTGATATACTGATATACTGTACTGCCTATGGTGCAAATTTAGAGAGAAGTCCTTCAGAAACTTAATTAAATTGTTGGATTTATTATTTAAAATGATTAAGTAAAGTGAAAAAAAAATCATTGAATATAGAATTGGTATTTTAAGTTTTAAGTATTTTTTTCTCTCAATACAGACTGTATATATCTAGTTTATGTAATACCAATTTATTTGACATAATATTTTTATAATGCCAATTTATTTGCCATAATATTTTTATAATACTAATTTATTTGCCAGTAAATTTTAAAATGTAGGCCTAGTTCTTTGCTCAATTTAATGTTTCAATTTATGATTTTCTGACATGATCGCAATGTAATTTGCTATAGGCCTTTAAGAAATATGTGAATTGTACTATAGTATTATAATTAACAGACTTACCGGTATCATTTTATTATGAGTAATATCACTATCATTAATATAAACATTATCATAATATTACAGTATTGTGATTTTTTTTTATTGTTTATTGGAATATAGTTTATTAATTTTAATTATCGTCCTTGTCATCATCGTTGTCCTCATTATCATCAATAGTATTTCATCATCATGATCATCAAGTATTTTACATCATCGTCATCCTCCTCGTGATCATCATCATCATCATCATCAATACCATCATCATCACAGCTGTCATCAGCATTTTCATCAACATTAGCACCATCTTTATCATCGTCATCAAGTATTTTACATCTTTGTCATCCTCCATGATTATCATCATCATCATCACAGCCATCATCAGCACCATCTTTATCATCATCATCATTATCATCATCATCATCATTATCCCATCATCATCATCATCATCATCATCATCATCATCACTATCATCATCATCATCATTTTTAAGACTACTGAAATTAGCAAACTTTTCAATACAACAGACAAAAAAAACAATTAAGCAATCAAATTATTTAACTTTACTTTTATTTCTGCACAGTTAATCACCTTATACTTCTGTCACCTGAGTCGATGAATACTTACAAAGCAAATATAATAACATCTCAGTGATGGCAATCCCACATGCCTATGTCATCATTCTAGTGAGCCCGCATTCATTAATTTATAACAGGCTGACTACAGTAAACAGCCTGGCTTCACCACCTTGTGATGTACACATGCCTATGTCATCATTCTAGTGAGCCCGCATTCATTAATTTATAACAGGCTGACTACAGTAAACAGCCTGGCTTCACCACCTTGAGACGTAGTTGCATCTGATATGATCACGCCCTCTACAGTGGTAGCTCCACATAAAGATAAGTTGTTTAGCTAGTATTCATCCTATATGACGGGTAAAATATAAACATTTTGGCCTCGCCAATTTCTGATTGGTCACATTCCTTTCATATGTAAACATGTGCATTGAGTGATTGCAGCATGACCATTGCAACGTATACAGTACGAAATTGGTAGCGATGGGACTGTCTTGTTTAGCAAACACCAGATTAGAACTGTATTTTCAAGTAGTATAGACAAGAGCATTCAATATGGCTGATTACCTAGTGCAATATTAAAAAACTATATGTGCTGAATAAAACACAATTATAACATACAGTACATATCAGTAAAACTTTTTATAACAGTTGGTTTGTTGGCCATCTATTCCAGTACATAACAATAATTTCTACATTATAATTACCAACCAAAAATAACACAAACCTAAATATAAACACCAAGAAAGTTAAATAACAGTCAAATAATTTTCTTCATACCATTTATAAGAGAAATAGACTCTAAATAGTTCTATATAAATAAATTAAAATCTCTTGATTTTTAGGTTTATAGAAAGCTCTGAGTTAATACCTTATCTCATTGCATAGCGGAATTTTGGCGCAGTGGTTGAGGTTTGGGCTTTCAATCGTAAGGTCGGGGTTTCGAGTCTCCGCTGTGCAGATTCGCTTGTGTCCTTGGGCAAAGCACTTTAGCTACATTGCTTCAGTCTACCCAGCTGTATCAATGGGTACCAGCAATCTGCTGGGGACTAACCTGCAATGAAGTGTCCCGTCCAGGAGGAGTACAACTCTCATCTGCTTCACACTACAGAAACTGGGAATAAGCTCCAGCCCTATGAGCCCTAGTGGCTCGAAAAGGATTTAGTAGTTTAGTCATTGCATAAAACGTTATTATTTTCTTCCCCAATCTTCTTTCAAAATAGACATAACTAAATAACAAAAGAAAAACAAATAGTGCCTAGACCTGGGTTTGCTAATTTGGGTTTGGTTGATGGATTATTGTATGCTAGTGATTGCACAATAATACTGGCATTTGTTACAAGCGTGCTGCTCCATTAATGTTACGCTAGCGTAACTTGTGTCTGAATATAGCCAAAATTACATATCTCATTTAATGTACTGTCTGCTCATACTAAAATATATAACATGCCTCTATAAGGTAAACCCTCTACCCTGCGATTTAGATAAAAGTGTGTATCATTCCCATTTATATAATCGCAGTCGCAAAATTGTTAGCGCAAGTGTAAAAGCATGTCTTGAGATGGCCAATTTAATTCCTCAAAAAAATATTTAAATACGAACTATGTGTTGCCTTGCATCAAGTTGGAAGTTGTATTTTACATAAATGTTACTCCAAAGAAGACTTTTTATGGCAGTTAGCATATCGGTAAAATTTTCGATACGCAGCATAATTGTAACAATATTTTGCTAATCGTATTTTTCGTATCAAATCAAAAATTTGAATATGTTGAAACAAACTTGTACAGTACAATCACTTTACACTTGAGAATAAAAAAATTAAAAGAACGGTTAAATTTCTATTTTTATCCACATTAAATTGGTATAATTGAAGTTTATTAGGTAATTAAAAGAACAATACAGAAAAAAATCAGGCTTAACTGTCATCCAAGAAAAGCACAAGATTAATAAGAAAAAGTATACCCAAAATATACACATGGACATGCATATATTCAATATTTTATGCAATATGTATATATCAATGATGTATAGCGCTGTGATGTATTTACTTACTGTATATAAAATAACAAGTATTTCTGAAAACAGTGCTATATGAAGAAACAATGATTTAGATATATATATATATATATATATATATGTATGTATATATATATATATGTATATAAATATATATGTATATATATATATAAATATATTATATATATATGTATATATATATGTATGTATATGTATATATATATATATATATATATATATATGTATCACATATACATGTAACATGTATATATGTGTAACACATAAAGATATGAACTCTGTCTTGTGGTAATGCTTTATACATTTATATAGTACATTTTAAATCCCCAAGGAATTTTACAGCTCACACATTATTAATGTACAGTACTGCCTCAGAAATACTCCTAGTGATGAGCCATTCATTACGCACTTACACACCTGTTTTTTTGTTTTATGGAATTTGCCAAATACAAGGCTGAAACCACTCTAGGTATATGCTACGTAATGTGCCCCTGCCAAAATATCCAAGCATGAAGTTTTGAGCTGCAACCATCGAGTCAAAATGCTTCAACTATATATTGACTTAATTCATGCATGTTCTGTAAGCCATATCTTTTAATATTTAATCTTATATATACAGTATGTGTATAATTTATATGCATTCTTATATAAATGCATACTCTTATATGTATAATTTATTTATTTACCTGTATACTAGTATATGTATGCCATAGGCAAATACTATATTTTTCATGTACAAGTGCAAATTTCAAATCTGAACAACGCTTAGTTACTGAATGTTAGTGGTTTGTCAATTCCATGCCTGTACTCGACAAGTAAGGTTGTTAGTACAAGCTTATAGTGGCCGGAGTGGCTATTGCCAAAGCTTCTGTTGTAACCCTGCAAGATAAAATATGTTAATAAGAATAGATGAATGTGTGTTAAAATATGGAGAGGTTGGAAACAGTGTGGCATGATTAGGTGTTACTACTGCTTCAGAATCAAATCAGCAAATTTTACAGTATAAATGCTCCATTTTTTCCCACTGTCCATTTCCTGTGTATCAATGTTTTGGGGGATGCAGAATGTTATGTGCCAGTGGTTGCTCAGTGTTTTGCAGTAGGGTGTCAAAATGTACCAAGGCTATGGTTTCAGAATCTATTTAAGAAAATTTTCAATTTTGATGGCCAAAAAAGAGGATTTTGGTTGTCCCCATCCGCAGAACCTGCATCTGACAAAGTGTATGATTAACAATTGTTGCATTGTCAAGAATCAGTTTTTCGGGAATTAAATTAAAAATTTCTTAGCTACTCTTAATTGTCTATAATTAATTAACCAGTGCAATATTAGGGGTAAATCATCAGTGTAGGAGTAGGGAGTGTCCACTCTGATAGGTATTAATCTTAATGCCATCTTTAAGATTCTGGTTACATATGGAATATAACGAGCTTTAGTTTGAAATCCTGCATTTGCATGGAGGGCAAATATGTTTATTACTTTCATGCAACTGCAGGATCAAAGCAAGGTTTATGAAAAGCGAGTATGAAGCCATGCAAGTAATCAATGAACAGTCTTGAATAATTTTGATGTTCATCTAATCAGTGTGACTGAGAGTATTGGCTGCATGTGTTACACAGGGAATATAATTTTCATGCTGAGATGTTTGTGTCATTTACTAGGAATTTACAAATTTTTAGATATATTCACAATAGTACAATTAGCTTAAAAAACATACAGATAGTTAAATAATAATAAAAATAAGACATTAATCATGACACAACAAAACTAACTGATAGTTTGGATCAGTTTCCAACATGCATAGGAAAACATGCAAAATGGTAGATGATGATAGAAGCGAGTGATGGGGTTAGAGGGAAGGATTCTGGGTGGGGGAAGATGGGGGTGGGGAGTCAGTCTACAGAGTTCTACCGTTTGTTGTGATCGTGCTGTAGTATAAATTATATTTTCCTTGTGTTTCAACTTACAGCTTGTATATACCTCAACAGCAAGTTCCTTTTCCTCACAGTAGAGATCAGCTTGATTGCATTTTCCTGCATTCAGGTTTAGGAGAATAAGGACTCCTACAACTTTTGTTTAATTTAATAGTTCAATTAAGTAAACCATTAAGGGTTTATCGCAGTAATCCATGTATTCAAACTGTTGTAATCCTAAACTTTATTGGTAATCGGAACAAAAATTGACGAACACGCAAAAGAGAGACAATTTTTGATTTATTCACATCCTCAGTCCTGATCCACAATAAGGACACCACCAAAGACAACTTGGAGACGAAAAGAAAAAAAATTAAAACTAGGCAACAATACTATGGCAACTCATCCTTCAACCCCACCCATTATACTTGGCAAACAGCAAAAGGAAGCACAAGTGAGTGCAAGTTAAGATTTTATGCCTTTTAAATAATATTCAGACTATTTTTAATATAATATAATTATTACGTACTGTAGGCTTTAAGTACAAGCACGTGCAATTCCATGTATTATTTTAAAGAGATTTAGGTCTTCAGAAAAGATCTCAAACCAATAAAATATTAAGAGAGATGTGCAGTCATAATAAGTTTATATAACAGAATTATTTTCAAATATAATCAATGAGGCACACACATAGGCCTACTATGCATACAGACTATCTTTCATGTAGTTTACAATGCTGAAAAAATCTCAATAAAAGTAATAATTTACATACTATTCGCAAATGCGTCATTATGTCTTTGCTATCACTATAATACACGATACAAGTTTTCAGCTAACGCCAATTTATGGACAGCTTTCCCAACAATGGAAAGATATATTATGCTTGGCATACGGCCATATTATTCTGGCAAATTTTTTTATTTATTGATAAATCACAAATTTTATCTTTCAATGAGCACCTTCATTACACATTATCATCCTTAATTTCAACATCCCTATCACAATTATCATTGTTATGAATTAAACATAACAGATTAAAGAACAAAATAAAATTACGTCAGTTACCGCAATCATGTTTAGCTTATTTTGGACAAACATTACTGATGAAAAAGTAGGCCTACTGCCAGGAGTTGTAATTTTGCTATAGTACTTTCACTTCTACATTGGTCCAGTCTCTGCGGAAGATTCTATTTTACAACAAAACTTCCTTATAGTAAAACATATATATTGAAATTTTGTTTGATGGCATCCTATATTATACAAAAATTGATTTGAATGTTTATTCTTTATTGCAATTTCGTACTTTCTACATTTAAATTTGACGAACATTCTCACATATGACATCACAGTAAAATTGACGCCAGTATCGATAATACTGTTGAAAAAAATCAAATAAGCATTAGGAAGAGAGTTGAGTGTTTATGGTTGAAATATTTAGGCAATGAAGGCATTTCAATGAATACATATACAGACAATCATGTTGTCAAGAAAATTTTTTTTATGTACAAGAGTTGCTTTTATAATTTTTAGCTATTTGCAGATTTAAAATGCACAAACATATATAATATATTTAAAAGTTTTTTTTATGATTTGAACACATTTCATACAGTTGAAGCAAAAAGTTTTCATGTACAGAAACGATCTTCTGAGGTATAACACTTCGGCGAGTATCCCTGCCTTCAAGATTCACGATAAATAGCATGTCATGTTACGGACTAACTTTTTTTTTTTATAACAGATTTTTAACTAAAAGAAAACATGTCATATTATTAGCTAATTAAGAATAAAATTATTGCTCCAAATCTTAACACACCACTGATCTATAGCTAGAAATTAAACAATTAAAATAAAAGCTGTATGCTCAAATCATACAAATTTACTATATTATATCAGAAATATAAATAGGCAATTATTAAAAAGTAATACTAAAATCAAAAGGTGAGGAAATTGATAGTAATTTAACATTTATATCATAGTCCTATTCAGCAAAAATGTGATTTTACAAAAAGCCATTTTTACAATAGCCCATAATATTTTCTTTTATTATTGCTTATACATACAACATTTTGGACAGCAAGCACACACTAGACTGACAATCCCAGCATGCATTGCAATCCTACTTATGTTAACACACACACAAATACACGTTCAAAGTATAATGTGAGAGAAATCAAATAAAACAACTCTGTAATATATAATACAATGTTGATAGTCTTTCTATACTAGATTCCAAATCTTCAAAACTAATATATTCTGCATTATTCCTTAATACAATATAATTGCTCCCATTTAAATTATCACATACAATGATTGTCAAGTTAACAAAGAAAAAAAACAATGCGATTCAAAATAGTTTTGAACATTCAGTAATATTCTTTTTCTTTGTCAAATATGTCCATTTGAAAAGAACATCTTAAGTACCTTAGTCTAATAAAAGGCAATGAACGTTGTCATTAAAGTATTAAAATGGTAAAAACACAGTCATCATATATTATGACAGATTTATTTCACATCAATATATTTCAATATTCTTCTTTAAGTATATACTCCTTGTCGAAATAACTCTTTCCAATTACCCCCCCCCCCATTTGCTTATGTCTTTATAAATGAAAAAATCATCATTTAAAACTGTTTGCAGGTGTATACAGCAATTCTTTAAACCATTTCTTAAATAGTTATTTTGCTATATTTAAACATATTTCATCCAACTACAAACTACGGATCACCACAGGTTTACAATAAGCAGAAGCAATGTTAACTTAAAATTTACAATAACAACTTAAAGCATATACATTTTCAATCTTACACTTAAGATATCTAACTTGAAACGCTACTAATCGTTTTGAAGTGCCATTACAGTATGTTGGTGATCATGTAGCAGATTCATCTTCTTCTAGGTAATGTTTTTCGATATGGAACCGTGATGTTAGTATGGCATGAATTTTAGCCGTCCAAGCTGGCTAAAAGCAGACCGATCTTTGAAGGTGTGCTTAAGAGCTCCAGTGTCCAAACCCAACAGGGGTACCGGCTTCATAAGCTCTGACAAGGGGATGACCAAGGGTGTCGGGGAATTGGCTGTGGGGGGCGAGGACGTTATTTGGGTGGTGGAGGTTGTGGAAGAAGGCGAGGTTTCTGAGATCGAGGCTGCCTTGGCGGAATCAAGGCTGTAAGGAAAAAAGGGAAAGGTCATAGGTTAGAGGCTAAGGGATGGAGTTTGGCTTGGCTGCATTGAATTGCAATATTACATACAGACATCACACACATAAGAGATTGAATGAAACTATCTGACATTTAAAAAGCTTTGCAATCTAAACAATTAGACTAAGATTTAAACGTTTAACACAACACGGAATTAGAATGATTTTTAAGTGTAGTTCACACACAAAAATGATATATGTCTATGATAAAACCATTAATGACAATGAGATTAAGAATAAGTGTAGTTGTATAGTGGCCATATAACAAACATACAGATACTCCAAATTTACATTTCAGCAAATATAATGTTTACAATAAAATTATATCATTAGATTATTTTCTTGGCAGTTTATAGATTTATATAACAAGTAATGATCCATTCTTTTGAAAGCAAAAATTCAATAAATAACAAAATCAGCAAAACATGAAAGATTTATTGCACATGTTAAAAGGAATTTTCCCCCCATAAAATGTTTAAAAATCGGCCTTCAGTATAGTTGTGATATAGCATACGATTTGCCATAATATATAAGGAAGCTTCTTTCTAGAATAATATATTTTCTCTTTTCTTGAAGACTATTATAAGAATATGGAATACTCCATTCCTGGTTGGATCGGTAAGGCCATAGTGGACACTAACCTTGTGTTTATCAAATAGTGAGCTAGATGAATAGCCTCAGGCGTTCCTGTGATGGTCACCGAACGGTCAGGGTTGCCTTCCACCGAGTCTGCTATCTTGATATTTGCTCCAGAGATGTGTCTAATGATGAGGAAGAAATTATGCTAATAAATTCCTCATTAAGTACAGTTGTTAGGTCATGTGTGATGTAGGTATTAGGCTATGTTGACTTAAAGCTGTTTACAAATATCTGATTTGTCCATATATGGACATATTATATCACACCTATGTATGGGCAAATTAAAGGTATTTGATAGTGTGGGTATACATCAGATCATCCGTCTTCATATATGATCAATTATTGGCTTTTCCCCAGCAGTACTGGGAAAAGCCATTGTTTTTGTTCTGATTTTTTCCCCCTTTTTTCTTGCATATGTTTTTCCTATCTTTTTGCACTGTTTTATTTTTCTGTGCTTTGCCGAAGCATAGGCCATATATCAAGGATGTGCCTCCTAATATTTCTATGGCAGGGTGTGCCTGTGAGGACCAATTAAAGTGATTTTAGATCAGTCTACACCGGATATTTTAAAAACCGTCAGTTGATCTGAATGAAACTTACAGGAAAGTTTAATCAAGTTACAAGGAAGAAACTTTTTATGTGTTAGTGACGATCCAGTAAAGGGTGTAAATTTAAGGGTCTCAATTTTTGAGGACCCAGACCTAAATATCTCTTTAAAAAAAACCAATGGGTCTAAATAAAACATTCTATAATACTTTGTAAAGGTCTTGTAAAAAAATGATAACATTTTTGTGACAAAACTTTTCTTTTTGCAATTTCAACTTCATTTCTCATTAAAGCAATGGGGAAAAGCCTTATGTTCTGTTCAAACAGACATAGTAAGTCTAGTTTAAATAATAATAATATAATATTAATAATAATAACAATAATAATAATAATAATAATGCAGTCATTTATAGAGCGCTCTTTTCACAAAGTTGATTTAAAATTAGTATTATTTAATATAATTGTTACACTCCCAGAGAGGTCAAAGGTGACCACTTATTAGGGACCTGTAGCAAGGCACTTTATGTGGATTGCTTCTTTCTTCTTAAAAATTAAATGAAAAACTGATAGCCTGTTGGCAGATAAATATAGCACACTGAAAAACACCCACAATTATAAAAGTTTGCATGTTAGTCTTGATTTCCTATGAATCAAATGTGACCAGGAACAAGTACTGTGTATTACTTAACCTAAAATGATTTTATATTTTATGATTATAATTATTATTATTTAGACTCATTAAGCTTCCAACATTTCAATAATTTGTTTTACAAGGGGTCGGAAGGCCTGGAGTTGTGAATAAATTCCCTATATGGGAGTAAATACAACATTTCAAGAAACAAATAAAATATAAATAGTAACAAAAACCAAAACATTATGAATTAAAAAAATTAGAGGTTATGTGCAGGGGGAGGGGGTAGAGCAAAGCCTCGTAACTGTTGCTTCATATGAAAATTGGAAAGATTCATGAATCATGCATGAAAGGATAAATTATTTATGTTTGCCAACTAATCATGGCAAGTAAAAATAAACTTCTTAATGTATACAGTATGATATGATAATATTTTAAGAAATGTAAATGAGTTTCTGTGCATCATATTAATGTAATGATAAAAATATAATAACAATAACTACTGTACAACAGCAATTTATGGATAACGGTAATAATAATAATTATAAGATTATTATCTAAAATTATCAAGCTTTAATTATATTATAATATATATATACAATATATATTACAGTTATAAAGCAAATAATAATAGGTATGTGACTATGAAAAAAAAATCACCAGATATAATTAATTTTTAACCAGTTTAGTATTTTAGATCACTTGTTTTTGCAAAAAGAAATAAAATGATAAAAATATATTTCATTTACCTTATTTCATTTATTTTTGCCCCTTTGCGCCCAATAACACAGCCAATCAGCTGGAGAGATAAAAGAAATTTTAACGATTAAAAAAAACCAAATTAACATTATACTTTTTAAATTTCTATAAAACAATCCAATGCAACTTAATTCTACAGCAATGAATGAAAATTAAGTTATATATCAAACAGCAATATTAGTCATATAGAATTGAAAAATAATTGCAATATAATATTGCACAAGCTTTCAATCCACATATTTCTGAAACCACCACTGAGTAAACGTGTCCTCAACAAAAACTAAGGTCATTGTCGCCCTCTATAGTTTTAAAACTACTTACATTGTTTGGAATGTGTATCTCGTGTGTTGTTTGGGTAGCCGGGTTGTTATTTGGTTGTGTTAGTCCACCTATGTGAGACATGACACCTACGGAAGAATCACAAAAGTACAAAATTACATCTTAAGTTATAAAATACTTAAAAAAAACAAATAATATAGTTCATTGACATGAAATAAGCAACATTTCGTATCATCTTTAAAATAAAGTTAAGTATATGCTTCTTTGACTTGCATGCTTACAATGCAGTAGTTAGAAAAGCTACAGTACATAAAGTCGCAGTATCAACATGCCAAATGCAATTTCAAAGATCTTCTTGTTGGAAAAATAAGGAATTTATAAAGTAAAGAACAAAAGCAATAAAAAAGACAATTGTAATTAATTAATGGTCAACCATTTAGAGCATGCAAGTTTTATATACTGTAATCCCAACATTCCAATTTCCTTTCAACGAAAATGCATCTTGCAGACAATATAAAATTCCCACCAAAATATATGTCATTATATAACTAGATGCTCACTGTAACTGCATTGCCAACATATAGGCCTATATGTTTAATCATTTTATGCAGTTTTCTTTTATCGATCTGTAGCACAATCAAACTTGCATTATGATAAAACTAATATTACTCTGTATTCATATCCAATGTCCTTGTTTACTAGTTATCAATATTTAACTTCATTCCAATGTACTTAATGATGAACAAGGCATGGTAAATGCATTGCTTAAAGCCTTTTTTTCATATTATCAAGTTATATATGACAAGTATCTGTGATTTGCGCATATAAAGATAAGATATGGCACCATTATTCCCATATATGGGTGTGATATCATACCACCATGCCCATCTATATGGTCAAATCACACATATTTGTCAAATAGAACTTGGTAAAGTAGAGGTTTACACTAAAAGTTAAGATATCACATGGTACAAAAGCAAGGATGCAAGGATGCAGAGGTTTGTACAAATTGGTCATGTGATACAGGCAAGAGCAAGGGTCAGATGGTGGGAAAACACGTACCTTGAGGGTAAGGAGACTGTCCAGAAAGGGCAAAGGGTACCGGGGACGGCTGGAGAGCGAGTTGTTGAACCTTGCTCAACTGAAATGAACACACAAACTGGGGGTAAAGGTTACGGTGTGAAAAAAGTGCATCAACTTGGCGCAGCCAAGATGAGGCACTCTTAAGGCAGCTTATATTGGAATACATGCAAATGATTGTCTGATCTTGGAAGATCAGTATGCCATTTTTAACGCACACTTCGCAAAGAGATATTCTAGGCAATTGCAAATTGGGTAAATTACTAAATCCACAACCAATTAAACTCATTTTCACTGCATATGATTTATTTTTGTACTAAGCTCAAGCCTAATAGAAAATGTTCATTTTTCTAAAATGGCAAACTGATATCCAAGAATGAAATCCTGAAATGTCATGTGAGCATAATGAAAGGTCATGATAGCTGTCCAAATGACATACTGTGTCTAAGGTCCAAATGTTTATAGAACATAGGGTTACTATGAATCCCAAGTAATATATTGAACACTGCCCTTTATTGTTAAAATTCACCAATGGACCATCATAAAAATCATACATTTGTATTAGATTTAGTAATGTTATAATAAAACTCAGAATGGTTGTTTATAAACTATTTAAATTTATTGAGAATTTCAAAACAACAGGTAAAAAGCCGGGATATGCAGTTAGCTGCAGAATCACCAAGATGGTTTTTATCCATCAATGGGCCGGGACATACAGCAGTGCATGCATAATTGTCTCTGCACAGTAACAGAATGTATGTAACAAGTAATATTTAAACTACACATAATTCATAGTTATAATATTATATTGAATGCAGATGGGGATGGGGTTAGCCTATTCCCATTCATCTTTTATCAGTACCAATGTTTAAAAACATTTAAAGATTTTATAAATAATGTTCATGATTAATTGGGATATTCTGAACACAGATTATTTTTACTGTTTGAACACATTTTAATATAAAATTTTGCCTATATAATTCTATTCAGGTCAACTTTTTAGATCAATTTTTACTCAAAATATCTTTGGATTCTTTGACGAGGATAATATTATTTTTTGAATTTATAAAGCATGTTGGAAAAATTTTTTTTTATCAGGACTTACATCTGGTTGTGGAATGGCATAGTTACCGTGCACCGCATATGCCTATAAAAAATAAAAATATAGTTAAACAACCTGGCAACCATTTGAAAATAGGCAATAAAGTTGCAATTCATGAGAACTATAAATTTTGATTGCATTTTACAGGTATTGCATATTTTTACTATTTTGAGCAGGAAATATGTACCTGTATATATTTGCTACAAAGAAATCCATATAGGAAAAAGATGGGATAAGAGACAATGCGTCTGTTACATGCAATAAATCCGACATGTGTCCCTATGGGCCAATTTCCAATTAAGTTTGAAATAGGACAAATACAAAAAAAATAATAGTTATATTTTAAATGAATTGCCCAAACACATTTCCTTTCTCCAAAACTACCCCAACCTATTTGAAGTAATACCACTTACCTGTCCCCCTGAGAAAACAATAGGACCAGTTGCTTTGGGCCTATATGGAATGGTTGCTCCTTTTGGAGGACACTGCAAAATTGAAAAAAAAAATCAAATAATGATCGCTATAATTGAATACAGTATATCGCTACTATTACAAGTTATTGCCACTTATACTGTAGTTGTTTGATTAATTGAGCACATATACTGTACCTAATATTAATGTTTAGTATAGAATTTTACTTAAAATGACCAAAGGATTTTTATCAGATTTCGTACATCAGAATGAATAAAATTCAAGTTCTGGGCCAGAGTGTTAATTAGGAAACCAGTTCCCTGTTGCAAGCAAATGAATCCAGGTTTTTAGTGACCCAAATGATACAGGCTTCATTGGTATAGACAGCTGATGGAAGACAATCTTATCTCATTCATCTCATCCGCTAACTATTTTCATTAACTATACGTCTTTAAAAAATCGGCCTGGACTATATTGAGTTGATAGGTCAGTGTGCTAGCATTACTAGATGTTTTTCACCTGGCATTATGCATTACAGAAAGTTTTATCAACATGTTTTCATTAACAGCATGACGCAGGCCTACTGCAAGCAATACGTCAGTGTTATATTAAGGTCATCGTACTATATATTGCACATAAATAAAGTCTTCCTCTTCCGAAACATAGTTAGGTCTATGGAATTCCTCTTCCGAGACATGATTAGGCCTACGGAATTATATGTCACTAAAGGGATATACTTGGTAAGGGCAACTGAACATTCAATTAATGTTAAATACAGATACACACACCCCTAATTTTATCATATATTATAATCATCATTATTATCATCACAATCGTTTAATTTATTAAATTAAAGAATATAGGTACATTAGAAAATGGAAGTTTTATTAATTTATTTGACACATTATACAGATACTTTAACTTAATCACCTGTAAAAATTTGATGCACCTAATATTAACTCAGTCAGTATATGACAAAGTGAGAACTAATAAGCTAAGGGGTCGGAAGTATTTGACTTTCACAAACTGATTGAAATTGTAGGCCTAGAGCTTGAGTCACACCTCAGTCAAGGTAGTCTGCAGATTGCATCATTATGTTCTTCGTGTGTATATTTTTTTGTAGTTCCTTGCGACTACATTAGCCTTATGGATTCATGCATTTCCAATTGTCAAATGCTTTCCCGAAAAAAATAAATCATCGGCAGGTAACTTGACAGAAAAGGTATTTGCTAATGAGTAAAAGGCAGACAAGCTTCTACCTTAATTATCATATGTATTTACAAGGTTGTAAACATATCTCTTAGAATATTTGACAGTGAAATTCAAGGCCGAGGAGGAAAGGTAAGTGATTTACTGGTTGTACCAGGATTGGTAGCTCTTGGTGGTATTTAAATCTATGTTCTTGCAGGCTACACCTCCAGATTAGACCTACCTACCTACAAGTCACGAAGATTTATGGTTTTTGGTTACAAAGGTTTTTAAAGCAATATGTCGCTATTGAACCTCAGTTGACCTTATCACTTGAAGATGTTTGGAGAACAGTTTCAGGAGATGAGAACATTTGAATCACTCAAGATCATATCATTATACCGTGCTTCGTTTGAGAATTTTATCCTGATGGACAGAATTAATACAACCTTGGTTTGAATTTTTATGTAATTTCTTCAGCACGGATAGGTGTATTTGTATTTACATATAAAAGGTGTTCAAATTTTGTTATGTAGGCAAAATTTTGAATTTTCTGTAGTAATAAAATCACACTGAGAAAATTCTGAGAAGATATAAACCCCAAGTGTAGCAAATCGATATATGAACTGGCAAGAAGAGAAGAAAATAATGCATTATTCACACTTCCATTAAAATGTCGACACATTTTATGAGCTGAAAAAAAATGTTTTTTTGGCTATTCTGACAATCAATGAATTAGTCATTCATTTACTTTTCAATCGATCATTCATTCTTTTGTCAATCATTAATTTCTGTACCTGTTTATATTTGCAGGTAAACTCTCTCAACCCTATCCCAGGTTTGACTATTGCATTTTCTGGTCCTGGTGTTAATTAGTCTAATTAAAAATTAAATTTTGTATTTCCATTAGTGAGGTTAAAAAAAAATGAGAGCTCTTTTAAACTCTTGCTCAAAATCCTATTGTGTGGTAGTAAAGAATCCAATGTTGCAATATAAATAGTTGAGCAATTGAATTGATGAACGAATGCACAAAACATATTTAATATATTTATATGATTGCGAGAGAGAAATAAAATTCTGTATCGGGAGATTTAATGGTGGCATACATCATCAAAGTAAAATCTAACCATTTTTTGTAATGGTGATGAATGTGCTCACAAGCGAAAATAAAATAAAATTTTTATTTAAAAACATCATTACTTGCAGGTGGAAAAAAGATATAAAAAAGTTTGGCATAAATTATTTACAATAAATAAAAGTGGATTCCGTGTCTAAAAAAGCTCCTAACTTTGTCCTTGTAACATGTCCTTATAACAATGATAAACCAAATATTTTATCTTATTTATATTTATCAGCTAAGAACTTAAAATATGGGTGGTCTAGATTCCATTCATTTTGAGTGAATTCTAACAGCTTTATTGCCTGGTGTATCTATAACAAGACAGATAAGGGAATGATGATATAAACTACTATGGACATTTACTATTGGATTAGGCCCTCATGTCGCCGGATGCCAACAAAGATGGAAGATCATAGCTTTGTATTATCATTCATTAAATTTGAAAATAAATGATTTCTTTAAACCTTATTATTTCTTCTGTCAGCAATAAAATTTGTTTATCATTTTCAATGTACGTAATAAAAAATTGTGTAATATAATAATTACATTCAAATATTTTGAACTGAGAAATAATTAAAATTGTATGTGATAAATTATTGATAAAATCTTATATAATTTTAACATTTTAAAATATGTACAGTAGGCAGCTGAGGAATATTCATCCCATCACAAACATTATACTAAAAACACTACATTTATACTGTACTTGTTATATGTTATAAATAAAACATAAATAGATAATTATCTATCTAATTCTGGTGTGAAATTTAGCAATACATAATGTTCGTAATTTCCAAAGTAAATAGTACGGACGTGTCTACAGTGTGTGGTGGTATCGCTTCCGTCAGCTGATTATGGCGGAAACGGCGAGAACCTACCTCCAGCATTACACAGCAGATGTGGTAGACAGCTTGTGTTATGGCATCTGGGGTGCCGGAGATTGTTACCGCCCTCTCTGTTGAGTTTGGTAGCATGTCCGTTGCCACTTGAATAGAAGCGCCTGTTGTCTGTGAAATCAATAATAATTATTTATTAGGTGTAAATTGCATTATGAGAAACACCTGAGTGCCTCACGTGTTTGCTTAATTTAAGAATCGTAAATGAGGTTTAATTTATTTGATTTTGAAGAGTCTTTTCACACTTTAGTTTCATGTATTTGATTGTATTTTAAGAAGACCCCTTAAATGCCACTCTCAGACTGCGACAGACATGTTTTCGCTTAGCGTGGGCTATTTCTATACTTTTTATGGTCTGACTGCCCGACGAGCTCTATCCGATGGGGTGGGGGCTTGACCTGTCAGTTTAAACCCCCTGCCCCCCGCTGGCGCCACCACTGCTGTGTTGTGGTAATTCAAATTTACAAAAAGAATAATATAGTGTAGGTAAATATGCTGAACACAGATATATATACAATAATTTGTATAATTAACTACACACGCTGTGTGTTATGAGTTATATTTTCTTGCCTTAACCTTTATCATTTTTAAAATAAAATAAACAATAATAATGATGAATGTACAGTACATTGTGGAACCATTAATTCTTAAGTTACAGTGATGGAAAAACTGTTCCATTTAGGGTAACCAAAAAATAAAATAATGCAAGAAATGATGTTATGCTTTTATGGCCACTTTCAAGGGAGTACCCACTAATGTCGTAAATACACTGTGAAAATCAGTAATTTGTGATATGTCTACTTTCATGCATCAAGACATAAATACCAGCCCCCTTGTGGATGATACAGTGTCTACCATGCAGTATTAGTCAGTATAAATTTCAACATCAAATTAGTCGGATATTCTGTTTGGATACAAATACAAAGATATCAAAAAAACCCTGCTATCGCCCTCTATAGTTCACATGCCTCCAAAACGCTATCATTCTGGCATGTGAATATGTGCTGCTTTTGTTGATAAACAGTTTTATCATTCAAACAGTGTCTCCTCATCTTCTAATTGCATTCATATTTCTTTCAAAAGTGAATTGTGGGTAATAATTCAAAACAGCGCATCAATGCTAATAACAAGTTCATGACCTTAATATCTGAGCACAGTTTCTTCCTCAAGAAAAAAAAAATCAAATGTCATAAATAAAAAAAAAGCAAACTAATTTTGTTTAAAAGCATTTTGTTTTAATAAAAAAAAAGTATATATTAAAGCAATGGTAAAAAAACTGGTTGGTTCTCCTAATCATTAATCTTCCTATCACACTTCACTAGTGATGTAAAAGTCTTTATCCATGTTTATTAACATTGGATCTACCAGTAAATAATTACATCTGCCACAATAAACTAGTCCTTACTGTTATTAATAACCATACATCATAAGTAGGCTACCCAATAGCAGATAGTAACACTGCTTGATGTGGGTTGAAACAGATTTAGAAGGCTGACGGATGCATGATGTTAATTTTGCACCAAAGAAAACGTAGTGATTGACTCAACTTTCCAATTACAGATGGCTGACATTCCAGAGCTTGCTAGGCAACAAGATGATAATCTTAATTACTATTATCTCTCTCTACCAGCGGTTAATGGATCTATTTGAAATTAAGCATATGAAGTTAATTAATATTAAAAATTTAACGGATGCTTTCACATATCTATTTTAGACAAAGGCAAGATAAAATCAGCGAAAATATTCAAGAACTGGGGAAAGCTGCAGGTATTTTAAGTGATATTACTTTGAATGCTATTAAATTCCACCTGATGTATGTGATGGCATGGAGCACCGTAGGTAATTTAACAAATATTAGGAAAACCCAAGTTTCTGTTTCCTGATTGGTTGAGCAGTGTTATTATATAGGATACCCTGTATTTAGTTCGATGCATTTTGATACCACGATAATGGGAATTCTGTAAAACTATACAAGGACGAGAGCAAGAGGACCGATATGGTGACACCATACACCGTAACATTAATCTAGATGGCTAAACACACAAAGTACCATAATCCGCATTCAGCTTTATATAACTGGCAAGTCGTGGACGTGTATTACGTAGGCAGAAATATTGCTCCCACAATATTATGCGTATATCTCATACAGGCAGCAGTACTACAAAGTAATTTAATTTCATATCTAAGCCAGCAGCGAATCATCACCTTACAGGTTGGTTAACTTAAATATCAGTACTAAAACATACAAGCTATCATGTTCATTTCTTACACTAATGCCAGTACTTGGATTCACACAATTTCAAGCTTTAATTATTCAATTTGATACATTATCAATTAATTCTGTTTGGTTATAATTTCATCAACAAAAATGTATGTAGCGAACGAGTGTTGGTAGTGAACCCTAAAATTCAACCTATGCCTACAGTAAAAAAAATTACCAAATGATGGGAATTTTTTTGAAGGAAAGTTGAAATTTATGAATATTTTTATAATATATTATATTTATTAAGTACATACAGGACTATATAATGGCCAGCATAATTTGATTAGCTGTTTCAAATATCGAAACTGTAATTTTGTGCAACCACTGTATGTGGGCATACTGAGGCTTTAACAGTGCCTCCTATTAAATGATGTGTATAATATTTGCCTTCTTCATCAGCATCCACAATATTTCATAACACTTTCTGTTACACGCACACTGTGGTACAAACACACCGTGGAAGTTTGTCAAACATGATTCTGACGTTAGGGCACTTCTAATTAATTCCTAGACAAGTTAACCAGAGGATGAGTTTCCCTAAGGCTAATTTAATCCCCTGCAATCATTAAGTGGGATCTACATCAAGTTTATGTAAACTTTATTTAGCTTCACACATCCAGAGAAGGGCACCCTTACTCTGTTCACAGCTGGTCTCTTATCAACCTCAACCATATTCTGATGTCAAACATCCTGAGATTCCAGCTGATTGGCCATTCAATACCGCAATAGGAAAATTCCACAGCTAATTAAGAAATGCTGTGATTGGCTGCTGCATTTTAAGATGACGGACACGTTAAGAATAGCTTAATGATAGTTATGGAACCAAGTCAACTGCTCTCGTGGAAGCACCATCATCTGCACAACATGCTGGAGATAATGAAGCATGATTCGTGTCATTTTTGAAAATCCTCAATACACCTGATTATAAAAGGCAAATAAAATCCACTCAACCATTAGCCATTCTACCAGCGCAGAGAATTGATGATTGAATGCATTTTATTACCGTCTATGAAGCACACTCATGTAATTATATCATTTGAATTTTCATTTATTATTATCTATCAAAATGCTTTCAACAACACCTCTTTCAAACGAACGGTTTTCGTTGGTAAATCAGAATCAATGAAGAATGATTACATATGAAAGCAATTAGAAAATATTAGGAAATGATTTTATCATTATCATCAAGTATTAATATGTGGCAAACCAAACCAGTCATTCGTCACAAATCCTGTTTCAGAGATAATGGCCACAACATGCTGGAAAATCAAAATATCTAAAGGTATCATGCTATGCTGTTATTTCCTCATTTTCAATGTTAGAACAACAATTTTGAATGATTTGGTGATGGTTTCTGCCTAAAAAATGCTCAACATCATGAACTTTGAAGGCCAATTTCTCATATATTGTTCTTTAAACAGCTGTATGTTTAAAACTCCTGTAACTTCATAACGATATGTCCGATTTTAATGATTCTTTTACCATTTTATAGTTCTAATGTTACTCTTTAACCCAATAGTAACAACTAAAAATCAATTTCTGTGACGAGTGACTGGTTTGGCTTGTTTTTGCCACATATGATTACTAGTAGATAATAATATACAGTACTGTATTGCCAATGATTTATAACAGAATTATCAGGTTTCATTATTTAGTCTTTTGTATGGCTTGGCATAATTATATTATCATATGTTTTGCTAAAATAAATACCAACAGTATCAATCAAAACCATTAAATTTATTATACAAAAACAATAATAATTTTAGTTTCATATTCAGTACCGGTACTGTTTTACTTTTTTCAAAATCTGTGCTCATTTGCCTTAAATAATTTATATTCAATTAGCTGTATAATGTAGTATTTATGTCCATGCCATTTTGTCTTTTTTTTCTCATACACTTAATAAACTACTGTGTACTTTGACGACCGCCTGGCAGCCGCCATTTTAAAAAATTCACTTCAGCCCATAATCTGCGGGAAGGTAGCAAATAGCAGACTGGGAGATGACGAAATGCTGTAATTTATCACTCTCAGTTTTCTACAATTGTATGTAACTGCTTACTCGCCGTCCATCCTATTCTCAGGGGTTTAAATACAAACGAGAGAAGCGAAACTTAAAACATACATAATTATGATGATGATCATGGATGGTAGTTCTAAGTCATGTCAACATGAGCGGCGTGCGTTCACAGTTAAGATGTCTTCACAAATTGAAAACATTTCAAATGAGACCACTCGTTCATAACAAAAAAAAAACAAAACTTGATGCAAAATCATTCAGAATGTATGAAATTTCACCTCTAATTTCTTATTTACTTTAATATGATTATATTATGAATCTTAATTGATTGATATCACCAACTGACAAAACTAATAAATGAAATAATTACCAGTAATTAAATAACTGTATGAATTAAATCAGTAAAGAAATGTGGTCAAACATTTCTTTCATTTAAAATTAGGACTCTGGAATTACCCCACAGTTGTCTGCCATATAAACAATTAAGGTAACATTCATAAAACCATGATTTCAGTCTGTATACTAACACCCAGTTATCTGGTGATAAGCGAATATTATTGGAGGTGTCAGTGTAAACTTTACAGTATTCATATCATGCATACTGATATATATATGTATGTTTGTGAAATGAAAAGCTGAGTTCTTGCAGTTTCCAATAAATTTTTTATTAATATTACTCAGCTCAAAATATCTAGTGGTTTACTTGTTCCTTTTTAATGTATATATTTTGTTTTCTAATGAACATACATTGCAATTACCCTACTACATGATTATTTCCAGCAAAACAGTAACCGCAAAATATTTCAGAGGGCTATGTTTATGCAGTTC